AATAAGGAAATGCCTATATTTTATTATGTTTACTACATATGATTATTCATTTTTTTTTTTAACTCAAAAGAAAATTCTATTGTTATTTTTGTTGCTCTGATGATTAATTATTATTTAATTTCATATTTAACATTTTTCTCCATTAATATAATGTGATATGATTAATTATTTCATTCGTTAATAATAAAGGTTTTGAATTTTGCAATATTAGGGCGGCGCGTGGTGTCCAAAACCTTCTGAGTGCTTGGAAAGATCAAAAGGATGGCTTGGGGACGTTTATTCTAGACCTCAAAGAGCTTATTTTGAGGGGATGCTAGATAACAACAAAACATACAATCCAGGTTAAATTCAATTAAATTGAATTGATTTTATTCTAAGGTCCCGTTTACGGAACCATTCTGTCGAGATTTGTAACCGTTTTGTAATCGTCAGAGATAATTGATGTTATCCAACGGTTACAAATCTCGACGGAATAGTTTTGTAACGGTACCGTAACAACTTCCCTAACTTACATCGAAATTTAATTGCCTTTAGTTTATATATATCTTATGTATAATTAATTAATTATTTCAGATTTTTATAACTGGAATAAAGTCAACGTTGTATACTGCGATGGCTCCTCATTCTTGGGAGATGTTGAAGAAGTTGACCCTGTAAGAAGTCTCTTATACATGATTAATAAATTATTTATTTATTAATTTATCATTTCATTTATTTATTTATTTATTTATAAATAAATAAATGGTGATAATAATTGTACATTTACTTTGTATTATTCTTAATTTTTATTTTTATTTTTATTTTTATTTCTTTGTTTTTTTCAGCAAACCAACGTTACTTATAGAGGCTCAAGAGTCTTCGATGCTGTAGTCGATGATCTATTGGCTAAAGGATTGAATAATGCCGAAAATGTATATATTATGTTTTATTTAATTAATTTAAATCTATATCTTTCTTCTAATAAGAAATTAAATATTTATGTATTTATGTTTTTTAATAAATTAATAAACGTTAAATAGGTAATTCTTTCGGGGAGCTCGGCCGGTGCATTAGCAACTATATTGCACTGCGATACTTTCAGTGATCGTCTACCAAATGTTAAAAGAGTTAAATGCCTTGCTGATTCGGGTTTTTTTCTCCATGCGTAAGTCTCCTTAACTAAATTACGTAATCATTTCGTCGGAGTTTTTAATTATGAAATTATTTCGTTGGGGTTTTTAACCGTTAGATCAACTATCGACGACGGTTACATGATGATCTATCGGTTACAGATCTCGACGGAATAGTCTCGTAACATGACCGTAGCATTTTCCTATAAATTTGATATATATATGAAAAAAATATAAAAAATGTTGATTGTTTTATTTGGTTTTTTCATCATAGGACAAATCTTCCAGGAGCAAAGGAAAGAGAAGATTACTTTACTCAAGTGGTCAACTTACATGTATTATTTTCTCCTCTCTCATCATATATAATATTTCTGTAATTCAATTTGTAATTTTGAGTCCTTTATTACATGATTTATCATACAAAATTTACTATTGCATGTCATCGAGTATATAGATATTTCAATCCAATTGTGTTATGATTCTAATTTATTTAATTTACTAGGAGGTGTATTCGATTGAGATTTACCTAACGATTTTTTAAGAGTTCAGAAATTCTGGTGTATTTAATTTAGACTTCTCGATACTTTTGAAAGTCTTGAAGTATTCATTTGTGATTTTAAAATGTCTTACAAAATCCCGAGGTATTTAACTTATTTGAGACTAAAATTTGTTAAGACTTTTTAAGTTTTATTTGGATTTCTAAAGGAAAAAACATATAAAGAAATTTCACTCCAAATCACACATCTGAAAAGATTTCACATAATTCTTCTGAAATAAAAAAAAAAAATTAAAATATCTTAAATTTCAAAAAGTCTTTAAATGTCACTCGAAATTTCAATCGAATAGTGCATTTATAACCCTAGCTAGTATATTGAAGTACTAGCTAGCATATTTTTATTTTCTTTCCATTTTTTTTTTTTTTTTTTTTTTTTTTTTTTTT